TAAACAGCGACCGCTTCAATGGAGGGACGACCGCTGGCTCCTCGGTTCGGGGCGTCAGTCCAGTTGAATTCGGCAATTTTGGCTCAGACGGTGACGTATCCTGTGAGTACTCATCCTTCTGCGACAGCATTGTTGATTTCACTCAAAATGCACGGCTGCGCAGGCCAGATCACGCTCTTCGTGCGTCGCCTTTTGCTAGAAGCTTATTGGTCATTTTCATCAATCGTTGAAACGCGATTCGACAACTTCACGCGGAGGCGGTGTTTCGCTCGAGTTCAAATTTTTTCAACGGCGTAATCATTAAATCAACGGAGAATCAAGTTAGGGTAAAACATGATGAAAGCTTTCATCGACTATAACAAAGAACACAAGCTGAAGAACTCTCACGGCTAGTACAAAGTTTCAGATTACCAATTTTTCGGTTAGATAGACTGTTTCTTTCGCACGACAACTAACAAAGTAAAATATCGGTCGATTTTTCATTCATTCCATTAACAAGTTTCATTTTGCATCCAATACCTTTTTATCAGAAATACACGCACTTACCTAAAGTAATATATGAATAACACGCCTCATCTTCTTCATAACACTTCCCCGCGGAATTTTCATTTTGCAAAGTCATTCCGTTTTCCCACACATCTATTGTATTCGTTCAATTGTGATCCGTGATAGTGCCTTTTACCAAAGAATACTGTATGATTGACTGACCACTGCCGATGACCTGTCCGTCGTCTCCTGACCAGGCTGTATAATACGGGCAGCTACCAACGGGTGCTGTTTCTTATGATGATGGACATTACTATTAGTTGGACGATGACGACGCACCGAGAGACAGACTCCAACGGAGGCGCCTTGCAGTGATGAACGGCGGCCAAACAAGAGGCGAAGATCTTAATTGCCGTGACACGTCGTTGCGCCTCTTGTCCTCAGCGCTGCGGTGTTGCTCCAGTTTTGAGCATCGGCGGCAGTGTTCAAAGCGGGACAAGTTCATGTTTAACGGCGGCAGCGATGATGACGAGAAGAAGCTGTCGACAATGAACGAACGGACGGACGGCGGACGAAGAAAGAAAGGAGGTGGGTCGTCGTAAAGGCCACCGTCGTCGTTGCTGATGCCGCCAAACAATGCCTTCGAACTTTGCTTGGTCCCCCAGTCGTTTGTCTCTTTTTTTCATGTCCAAAAATCACCCACCAATTACAGTTACTATGGCCTGTAAAATGCTGCTCTACCGACTGCTCGCGAGCAACTTGTCTCGTTTAATACGCCGCCAAGCACCGCCGGACTCTCTGAACCTCTACCTGCTTTCGCATGTGCACTCTCTTATTCTTACTGTACTACCTAAGCATACTGTAGGAAACCATGAAAATGCAAAGCAGCGGCGTTGATCTTTGTTGATCCCACGTGATGTCCGCTTTCTCCAGAGATGAGGCGAGAATGTTTGCCTTTAATCATGGCTTAATCGTTAGGGACCATCTGATCAGCGACCGCATCTTCGTAAAACTTGTCTCATCAAATCTCCAGTCAATTATTTATGATGATGTGACGCCAACAAACACCAAGGAACACAAAGACAAGACAGTGGCGGCGACATTGGAAGCTGTTTATGTCTCATTCCGTCTACCGTAAAGGCATGCCACGTGTGGCTAAAGTTTCTTTTGGCTCTAAATAAACAAAACCACATAATAATATGAGTGGTTGTAACGTAATTAGTCAGAATATTGACGTCCAGTCTCTGAGCTTACAATCGACGTTGATTGGATGGCGTTTACAAACGAGAAACCTCCCCTCTGCGAGTACAGCATTTTCATTGATTCTAAGATGCATCACAGCATTTCTTGTTACTAATGCATATTTCTTCTATCAAACAATCATTCATCAGTAATATTCATGACTTTGAGACTGTGGTGGTAGAGTACACACAGGGACCGTTTTTCAACTAATATTACCAAGGAACGGTCAACGCAAATTTTGACTGTAACCAGTTATGACCAGTTCGTATAAACAGTAATTCTGGAGTCATTACATGCGTAGAGATGGCTGAGTTCCACAGGTGATGTAGCGTAAAGCAAGTTTAACTAAAAATATTCATTCTAAATGTCAAACGAAAATAATTTTCACTGTTTTGGACACTCTCCTAACTGTTGTGTTCACTGAATAATTAGGCTTAATCTGCTTTATCTACTGTGAGAAACAAATACTGCGTACTATGTAATATAAATATATATATAAAGTTTACGATTAGGACCAGATCACCATATTTTGGTAGAGTTCAAAGATAAAATTGCCTCGTAAATCAAGTAATACACTAATTAATTGCAGTAAGAAAAAAAGCACAATAAATGAAATTATAGAGAAAATTACGAACCAGACACCTTCTGCCGATTTACTGCGCAGCGGCAATAAACCGAATGAATTCAAGTTGCGACTAAGTTCATCTTCATCTTCCATCACCGCTTCTCCTTTCGGGTCGCGGAGGCAGACGCGTTAGACAGTGCTTCCAACGTTCCCGATCCTGTGCCA